TTACACGATGATACAACTTTGCAGGGGAGAAAAGCTAACACCCCCCCCCAAAAAACCCCGAAAAACGCCGCCACCACCACGAACTTACCCCTCTGCTTTAATTTGTAACTACTGTACCACAGTGTGACTGGGTTGTGGGGCAGGACCCTGCTTAAGTAGCATACTTCTGTGTTTTGGTACCCAAGTGAGTTTCCCGACGAGATAAACTAACGTGTGCCAAAGGCCACAACATGAAGTAGGAAGACATGAAGCAGCTCACTGTTTAACTCAACAACTTCTAGCTACCACCGCTGCGCTTAAAACTGGCTTGCCTTTCGAGTCTGAGTGTAGCAACCAGCTACTTATGCTCCAAGTTCAGCATTATCTGTGTTCCTCCAGCCACTTAAAGAGCAGTGTTAAAGACTGTGAATGCAGGATAAACCATTTGTGATTTTTAGCACCAAGACAAAGCAAACAGTTCAGGATCACAATCACTCATTACGTTTTTTTAAGGAGGTAGTATTTTCCTCTCAGGTAAACAATTTATTATTCTTCTATAAGAATCTAATAGTTTGTATTCTTATATGGGCAGACATTTTTGCCGTGTAATTCAGCTCACAATGGATATTATGTACTTTGTTTCAAAATGCTGAGTTCTGCATTTTTTAAGGGTAGCAGCAATTTGCTTGTGGCTAGAAGTATGACTCCTCTTTAAGTAAAACAGTGACACACCTAAGGCTAGATTTAAAAAAAAGCTGTATGTAATTATCGGCTTGCTGACACAATAGGTGAAACTGTGTGTCATACTTTATTTGAATACTTTTTTTCACCGTTTCTCTTTGGAGTGGCAATTCTACCTTCAAGAGTTGATTATATTTAGAAAAGGTATGGCCAACATAACTACAAAGTTTTTAAGTGAAGCCATAATATAGCATTAATACTTGCTAAAATACTGTGCAGCTTTGTTAGAAAACTAAGCATATACAAGCCACAACACCTTACAACTGATCATAAGCAATTTTCAGCTTCCCCCTTGCCATCCACCCTGTGTTTCTCTCCAATTGAAGCTGGCATAGCTGGCACAGCCATAGTGTTAATTGGTATTACTACTATAGGTAGAAGATACAAATTATTTTCATTTGACATTTTCCTAAAATGAAAGAAGAATTTATTTCCAGAACAGTCTGAAAGCTAAAAGACAGGAGCTTCTTCAGCAACATAACCTCCTTCATACCTGTCCACAAGTTCCCACTAACAGCTTTGTGACAGTAAAACAAAATACCACAAACCGTGAAAAATCAAAATGGTGAGCTTGCATCTAACGTATGGAGAACAACATTGTTTTGCACCATGGTAGGGGGAAAGGAGTAAAAGAAATATATTGCTCAAAGCATTGTGAACAGCAGAACAGATCAGAAGTCTGATCAATAGAAGGCTTACACGCTCACACCTAGGCTTTTTTAAGTTTCACAAGGAACAAGCTTGCCAGACCTTAAAAGAAACCTTAAAGTTGTTCAACTAAGAGGATGGAAGCAGAGGATTTATTTTCATAAGGCTGCTGACCAAATCCACAAAAAGCACCAGTTTTGAAACAGACTTTAGTATTGGTATGGTTATACTCATCCTGAAGATTTGCTCGCAGTGAGAACATAAATGTATTCCTGCGAGTTTAAAGATAGCAGTAAATAACTCTGCACAGCTGGTAACAGCCTGCTAGAAACATTTGTTAACATTCTGGTCGTGGATGTCACTGTGTCTTCATTGCTACCATTACCTGAGCTGGTTAGATTAAAAATAGGAATATAACCCAAGATGTAATCACATGATTATTTCACTGTGTGAACACATCTTTAGGTACCTTTATGTTAAGAATTTCATACTATATATAATTTACCGTGAACTCAGCTAGAAGGGAATTAAATATGACCCTTTGAAAGAAAGTATTTCTTTAATAACTTACTATGGCAAATATCACTATTTCTAGCATGCTTAACTGAAGCAGGTCTACTCTGAAGCACTGCATTCTCTTTCTGAAAGTCATCCAGAAACAGTGGATGGCATCATGTTCTAGCACAGCTTGGTGTTACAAGACTGTTGTGGTTTAGCCCCAGCCAGCAACCAAGCACCACGCAGCCGCTCACTCACTCCCCCTACCCCAATGGGATGGGGGAGAGAATCGGAAG